TATATATATATATAAATTTTCTGTTACAGATCATTCCAGTTGGGTGTTCCATATATGTGAAAAGTCTACAGAAAGTTATAAAACCTGAAACTAATTCTATCTTAAAATAGGTTAATCAGCTGAATGAATCAGCTCCTACTGGTATGAGTGAAACACCTGGTCCTTTGCCTTTAATTTCCCCGTCGTGGGCTCAATAAAGTCTTATCTTATCTTGTCTTGTCTTGTCTTGTCTTAATACTTACTTACTATTTACTAAGACAGAGTTGTATGGGCAGATTGGCCCTGTGCTCCTAATACTGATGCATTCTTTAGCTAAATGTAAAATGTTTTCACTCCCTTTGTTGTGTCATGTGGGACAACAGTCAATTATTCTAAAACACAACACAAATTATTACATTTCTGCTGTAATGTATTTTCTTCATCAGATTAAGCAGTGGGCAATTACTGTGTGGATTAAATAATTAGATGCAGTTGTTACATGAAGCTGGGGGGGAAAACAACTCTAAAATGACTGACTGGCTTTCTATATCCGTCTTCCTCCTTCAGTCTGTCCCTGATGCCAGCCCTATGAAGCGCTCAGCCTCAACTGTGACCCCACAGCGGCCCCAAGAGGTCAACTTAAGAGACTACACCCTGGAAAAACCAAGCCAGGAGAGAACCCACCACCATCACCATCACCATCACCGTCGCTGCCACCACCGTAGAGACCGAGACAGAGATAGAGACAGAGAGAACAGACAGAGGTCTTTAGATGCACCTTTGGCAGGTCAACCACCCGGTTCTGCTGGTAAAGTCAGTCAGAATTTATTCACAAGCACTATCAAAATCACAGTGTACAAAAACATTCAGTATCATCTAGTCCCACTTAGTATTGGACTGTCCCATCATGATATCCTATAATTTTATGTGATTGTTTTTAGTTCAGTTGCAATTCATTTATATGGTGCCAACTCACAAAAATAGTTTCCTTTAAGGGGCTTTATATTATAGGACGCGTGATCTGCAATATTAGCAAGAGCCCCAGCTACTCACTAAGAACAAGGACTTGAGTGACGATGGGGTTGAAGAAGTCTCTTTTAACCAGAAAAAAACCTCTAGAGCAGTAGGAGAATAAAAAAGCGGTGAAACAAAGGATCTGGAGGAGCAGTGCACAGTGGATTGTGATCCCCAGCAATCTTAGTGTGAAGACTCTGCTTCCCATTCTACTTTGGAATACTCTGTGAACTACAGGTTTACCTGCAGTCTGAGAGCAAAAGGATTTGGGGAGATTTATTAGGATTTATTTAAGATAAATGATAATGACTTAAAATAGAGAGCCAATAAAGTGAAGCTTAAATGGAAGACATATAGCCTCCCTCACATCCTAGTTTTTCAGCATTACTAAAATGTGTTCCTTATTTTGATAGTATTGCACAGATGAAATAAGGCAGTCTTGTTTCTTTAACATGCAAGTTAAAGGAGACAGACGTTTGGGTCAAAAATAAAACTTAGAAGCAGAAAATGACACGTATTCCAGATATCCAGACTTTCATAGTCTAATAGCACTGGGTATCTGCATGTCAGTGGAATCACAATGTTTTCTGTTAACATCACCTAAGTGAAGCTCATTGGGTGAGCGTCACTTTGGTGATGGTCAGTAGGTTCACTCAACCTACTGAGTTCCTGTTTCTTTAATCTTTGACACTTAGCACAAAAACTGTGGGAGTAGTTATTTTCACCATTCAAATTTTAAATTGTTCTGCTATTTCTGCTAATGCCAGCTACAGGGCTCTAGAGTGTAACCAATTTGGTCGCTTATGCGACTTAATTTCTCAATGGTGTGACTAAAAAAAATCCTAGGTCGCACTGGTGCAACCAGCTGTTTAGTACAAAAAAAAAGTCTCCACAACTCCTGAAAGTCTCTGCGTGGTCAACAGTAGACACACATTATGCCCATAACATGGTTTAAACCAATCAGAGATAGTCAGGGGCGGGGCCTCTCTAATTGGACGTGGTTCAGATATTGCTGTAGTCCTTTGCGTGTGTGCGTTTGAAAGTGCAGGCAGATAGAGAGCGGTGAGTAGCTTGAATAAAGTGATATCGATTCATTAAATCCTGAATCAACTTTTAAATATAAATGTATTTTGCCAGAAAGGCCAGAATCTCAGTTTAAACCTCACAAAACTATTTCAACAACCACCAACACGCTAACAGTAAATGAAAACAGCTAAGCGGATTCCACTCAAAGACGTAAACACAGACTGCGGACCCGACGCATCAGTGAAATGTCAGCTTTATCACCTGACGGCATGTACATGGACGCGTTGATGCTGAAAGCTGACAGCTTACTGATTCTGATGCGTCGTGTCCATGCTTTGTGTTTACGTCTTTTTTTGCACTAGATTATGATGCTGCAGGTTTTGTCACTCTCCAACCAAAATTGACTGCAGCAGCAAAAGAAGATCAAAACTTTCTCTCTCAGTGTACTTCTAGAACAGTTTTCTTTCTCAAATCTCTGTTTTCTGAATTATTCATTCGATTATTAAGGACAAGTCATGTACAGTGCTGTCGGGTGTTGTTTTGTTTTTCTCCAAAAATGACCTCCAACAAGAAAGCCTAATTTCTGCTGTTTAATAGCGAAGAAATGTAAACTTTTTTTAAAATGATGCCAAATTGCAAAACAAGTGTCCCCTCTCCCCACTCCCTTTCAGCGGCAGGCAGCAGCAAACAGGTCATCAGAGGCCGAGATGATGATTAAGTTTAACATTGTCTACAATGTCTACTACTGCCTAAGACTGCCAAAGCACTTTACGAACAAGGAAAAATTGTAAAATAATTAATTTTCATACCGTTTACCGTTTTCCCATGAATTACGTTTGTTTCAGGATAGGAAATCTGTCTTTGCCTCACTGAGATGAGCAGGCACCCTGAGAGTGGGCAGCACAGGTTTGAATCCTACTTGTGGTTGTTGCCGCATTTCTTTCCCACTCTCGCTCCTTCTGCTTTTTTTTTTCTTTCTCGCTCCTCTTCAGTGTACCCTTTGAAATAAAGCAGACAGTTCAGCTTCTTCAGCTGTTTTCAGCAGATTGTTCCGCTTCTTCAGCTGTTTTTGGCACATGATTTCCACTACATGGCATTCACCCAGTATTTTTGCAGGAAATGCAACTTTTACTAGTTAACAAAGCAATTTGCAGTTCTGGAAAACAATAGATAAATGAATAAATAAACAATCAAGAAATCCTCAGATTTTCTTCAATGCCACCATCAGGTTAGCGTTTCCACTTTGCCATAAGTTCTTTGCTGCTTAGTGGCAGTTGGTTTGCACTGACTAAAGGCTCACCAAAGTAGTTCAGACTCTTGTCATCTGTCAGCCTTACAGTAGATTGCATTGCAACATAGTCACTGAAATATCTCTTCTTGACAGATATTTACCTGTTCAAATGTAAACAGATACTCATTCATATTCGGAATCAAAGGTTTCAGATTCTGACACCTTTTGACAAGAAGGGCAGCTCTCTAGCACAGGGGTCCCCAATCCCAGTCCACGAGGGCCGGTGTCCCTGCAGGTTTTAGATGTGTGCTTGATCCATCACAGCTGATGTAAATGGCTAAATGACCTCCTCAACATGTCTTGAAGTTCTCCAGAGGCCTGGTAATGAACTAATCATGTGATTCAGATGTGTTGACCCAGGGTGAGATCTAAAACCTGCAGGGACAGCGGCCCTCATGGACTGGGATTGGGGGCCCTTGCTCTAGCATCTTACCCCCTTCTTACATACCACTTCAAATATAACATGTACTGTCAGTTTAATATAGTTAAAAATAGTGACTTAACTTAAGTCACCTATAAAAATCTCTGATTTTAACGAAACATTTGACAAAAAATGCTTTTTGATTTTAATGTACAGTGGGGGGAAATAATTAATTTTTCCACTCCTGAATTTTCAAGTTTGCTCACTTACAAAGAAATGAACAGTCATCCTGTAGATTTCTCGACTACTGCTTGGCAACTCAAAGCTTGACCTCTGTCCATAAAATTTCTATAGGTACTTAGCCCCATCCTATGGCCCCTCAATGTATTGAAATCTTCCTGTAACTTTAGCAGAAAAACAGACCCAAAGCATAATGTTTTCACCTCTGTGCTCGACTCTGGGGATTTTGGGGTTAAACTAGACATTTCTCTTTCTCTAAACACAGCAGCTCAAGTTTATGCCAAGAGTTGGGTTTTTGTGTCATCTGACACAACACTTTCTCACAAGCCTACTTGTGAGAAAGTAGGCTTGCTCACAGGCAAACTTAAGATGGGCCTGCAATGTGCCTTGTAGATTTTAGTCTGCTTAGTGTGTGACTATTGCTGTTCTGTCTATAGATCATTAACAAGCGACTCTTATGCAGTTTTAATCTGATCCACCACCTTTCTCATGATTATCCACAACCCATGAGGCACAATCTTGCATGGAGCTCCAGACCAAGGACAGTTGATGCTCATTTATATGTCTTCCATTTTTAAAAAAGCACGCCAACAGTTGTCACCTTCTCAGCATACTTCTTTCTGATAGTCTTATAGTCCATTCCGGTCATCCAGCGTTGCAACAGGTCTACAGCCTGTCCCTAGTATCTTTAAATAGCTTTTTATTCTTACCCATGGTGGATAGTTGTGCTTTATACACACAACAAATTAAGAATACCTGAAATAGCTGTATTTGATTTATTGATAACAATCTGTGTGCCCAACACGTTCTCACTCCCAAAGCGTAACATTTTATGCTAGGTGATTACGCCTCCGGGCACCCACACATCCCTATATTATGACATTGGAAAAATGAGGAACCATGAGAAATATTTGGAATGAATGTATGTTCGTTTTACTTAACTTGCTTTGGAAAACAATATCTAACATTGTTAAAGTGCTGGTTAAGGTTAGGGATAAGGTTATGGTTAGGGCTGGAATACACAGCTGGAACGTGTATGACCGCAGAAGCGTCATTCTACTGGATTTCATCCATAACCTGGCGCATAGCATAAGAACGCGGAATGTCACCTTTCGCGTTCTGCAAAAGCGCCTCGGGACTTGTCAAATCGTCAGTATATTAAGCCTCGGAAGTGAGAACGGTCTGGTGTGCCACATGGGCAAACAACCAATCCTTTGGGAGCCAGAATTCTGATTGCGGTTAAGGGGATAAAATATTAATTTATATTGAAACAATATATGAGTCCCTTTATGGCTTCTGGACCATGAAGAGACCCAAAACACTACTGGTGCTTTTATTGGTCGAGGAACTTTTCAGGCAAGGGATTTGCCCCAGTTTCATCCTTCTTGTCCAAGAATGAGGTGCTTCTTGTATATTCCAGGGATTTGTTGCTAGCTCTCTGGCATGGGGGGGGGGACACACTGCTGAGGAGATCAGGAGGATTTTGATCTCAATGACCCCTCAATAAAAACCAACACACTATAAATAAAGCATAAAATCTAAACATATAAGTGCGAGGAGTTGCAAAAGAACAAGCACAGAAAAATGGTAAAGTCAAAAAAAAGGACAAAACAAGAGCAACATCCATCAAACGGTTAGTTACCACTTTGTCCCGAGGTTTGTTGAAGTCCTGAATTCTGCGACTTTTCAGGAGCTCAGCTTCCCTTCTTTCCTAACCTTGAGCCCTCCACTGAGCAGTAGTACTTCTCTGACTGTAGCAGATCACTCCTGTTATTGCTTCCAAGGTTGCCCTGTTAGAAGCTAAGGGTTAAAACAATTAAATTTGCACAATTAAATCTAGATACTTATCTAGATACACAATTAAAGTGGATACTTATGTAAGTATCCACTTTCAAAGCAGTACCTCCACAACCTTCGTGGGCCAAGTAAATCATGTTAGCATCATAAAGCACTGTTTTAAACCATATTTATTTACAATTTGGAAAAATAAATTTGGTTAATTAATTAGCAGTTATTCTGCTTTATTTGCTGTATAGCAGTATAAATACTAAAAAAGGACACTGAAATCTTAAAGAACAGAAGATGTTGTAACTTTATTGCAATTTATTGTTTGATAACAGCATTTTGGTTATTTTGTAAGTGATTTAAGTGTTAGTCACATGTTTAGTGAGAGCTGTT